AGATCAACAAGATGAAGATAGAGCAATGGCTTGGAAGCGACTCAGACCATCCGCTCTCCGTACAGTTTGCAAGTCAATGTACATTGGAGCTTTGATTTCACTATTAACGGCGATCATCATAGGTTCAGTATACATGTTGATCTCATACTTATGTAGTAAAACTATAAGTAACTGTGAATTTCATCCAAACACGTCCATTCCATTAAATGTACAATGGATGAGATCAATTTCGCTTGTGATAAGTTACTCTATTTTACACTTCTCGACCTTTGTGAGTATGCTATTTCTTTTTCGTCCATATCAGTTAATGGGCGTGAAAAGGAAAGTCTTCTTAGTTCTCTGCTTTGGATATTGTTTGGACGCATTTTATATCATAGCTCTACAAGCCCTGGGAATATCTCATTCTAAGCCATCTTCTTTACAACTGATTCCAAGCGACGTTATTGGTGTTATAAGTCTATGTTTACAAGTTTATTTTGTAACGAATCACTTTTGTATACGACGAACAAGGAAAAGTCACGTCAAGTTTTTCTTTCAAATGACAGTTGCCTATATTTCTTATTTAATTCTTGCCATTGCTGTGGGTATAATGATTTATCCAGCGTATAACAAACAAGGCAAGGATGGTAAACTTGTAATCGCACTTTTCTCTCCTCTCATTGGAGTCCTTCTCAAAGTAATCCCGCGAGTTTGTGTTCAGCGGTTATACTCGAAATGTATTCACCCGGGATATTCCTATGTCTTACTAACACCACTGTACTGTTGCTCAGCCGTTATGTTTCGAATTTTACAAGCGGATCTTGGCAGTTTACAATCTATTGCTGTTCTTGGAATAATTCACGGCGCTGCAGAAGTCGTAGAACGAAGTACTATGGTTGTCATTGATCACATTTGTCACGTGATTTGCAAAAGAACATCAGCTCCTTGGGGAAGTTTTCGTAATCCTCGCCGTGAGAGACTAATGGCTGATATCGCTATCATGAGCATGTTGCATGAATCAACTGCTATAGTGTCTGTTAACGGATTCTTGTACTTGTATCAATATATCTACTTAAAAGACGATTCTCTTTTAGAGCTCCTACAGTCTTTTGCTATCACAACTTCAGTTCAACTAGTGATCGAGTGGTTTTTCACCAGCATCTCTCTAGCGATCGAGACTCGCTATCAGAATATAGCTGTTATGGCTGTTTGGCGAACACGATGGAAAAGACACTTTTTAGTAGCAACTATAATGTCTTCTATATTTGCGTTATGGAGTACCAAATACCTTTTACCAATTGTACACGATCGCTTTAACAAGTTCTCAAATCAGACTTGTAAAATGCCCTTTACTTGAAGTTAGTAAAACGCTCGGAAAAAAAAACCCTCAGTAGTGCGTAGCGCAATAAATACAATACATTTGAGTTTCTTATCTGAAACACTTGA